CTTGAAACTAAAAATGAACTCTCAAACAATACCCATCCCCGTTGTGTTTCATAACCTTAGGGGATACGATTCACATCTCATTATGCAAGCTATCTCGAAGACCGACGGTGGTTTAACGTGCATTCCTAACAATATGGAAAAATACATATCGTTCTCGTTGACTAAACCTATACATTATAGGGACAAGGATGGGAAATCTAGAACAAAGCAAAGTAATGGGCTAAGATTCATAGACTCCGTACAGTTTCTGTTATCTTCCCTGGACAATTTAGCTAATGCGAACAATCCCGATGACTTTGCGATAACAAATAAACATACCGATAAGATAACACGTCATTTGTTGCTGAGAAAAGGTGTATATCCTTACGAATATATGGATGATTGGTCTAGATTCGAAGAAACTGAATTACCACCCCTCGAATCATTCTATAGTAACTTAACAGAATCTAGAATAACAGATGCTGATTATGAACACGCTCTGATGGTGTGGGATAAATTAGGTTGTAAGAATTTAGGCGATTATCACGATCTGTACTTAAAAACCGATGTACTGTTACTCGCCGATATATTCGAGATATTTAGAAAGACATGTTTCAAACAATACGGCTTGGACCCGGCATGGTACTATTCCAGTCCCGGACTATCGTGGGATGCATTGTTGAAGAAGACCGGCATAGAACTAAAACTACTCACAGATTACGATATGCACTTGTTTATTGAGAAAGGATTAAGAGGTGGTATATCGATGGCAGCTAAAAGGTATTCTAAGGCTAATAATAAATTAGTGGAAGGATACGATCCCAGTAAACCCGACACCCACATATTATATCTCGACGCTAACAATTTGTACGGATGGGCTATGAGTCAACCTTTACCCACGGGTGGTTTTGAATGGGTCAATGATATCAATGTGAATAATATCCATAATATCGAAGTAAATAATGGGTACATACTAGAAGTTGACTTGGAATATCCAAGTTCGTTACATAAAGATCATAACAGTTATCCGCTAGCTCCCGAAAGATTAATGGTTAATAAAGATTGGATGTCGAAATATCAACGCTCCTTGATGGGTAATAGTAGGTTAGCTAACTAGAAAAACTCGTACCAAATTTGATGGATAAAACAAAATATATAGTTCACTTCAGAAATCTCCAGTTGTATCTATCGTTAGGTATGAAACTTAAGAAAATACACAGAGTTCTAAAGTTTGATCAAAGCCCTTGGATGGAGCCCTACATAAGGTTGAACACAGATTTAAGAAAGATAGCTACCAGCGATTTCGAAAAGAATCTGTATAAGCTCATGAATAACTCGGTATTTGGTAAAACTATGGAGAATCTAAGGAAGCGTGTTGATGTTAAATTAGTCAGATCTAATGAGGAAGAAAGACTCAGGAAACTTATAGCCAGTCCGGCTTTTAACAGAAGCAAGATATTTGATAACGACTTAGCCGCGTTGCATATGCAGAAGAGTAATATAAAATTCAACAGACCGGTGTACGTTGGTATGAGTATTCTCGACTTGTCAAAACACTTAATGTATGACTTTTATTACAACAAACTTAAGAAGCAATACGGCGATAGATGCGAGGTGTTATATACCGACACAGATTCTTTGTTGATGGAAATACAAACCGAGGATGTGTATAAAGATATGGCAGAAAAAATAGATATGTACGACACGAGCGATTACCCTAAAGATAATCCACTGCACAGCGTAGTAAATAAAAAGGTGTTAGGTAAGATGAAGGATGAATGTGCTGGGACCCCTATAGCGGAGTATGTGGGATTAAGACCTAAGATGTATTCTATAAAGAAGTCCGATAATGGAGAGATAAGAAAAGCTAAGGGCGTTAAGAAGTATGTTGTAAAAAAGCATATCAAACATGAACAGTATAAAGAATCATTATTCAACGGTAGAACGTTCAAACACGAGATGAACTCTTTAAGAAGTTACGATCATAGGATATATGGATTAAGAATGAACAAGACGTCATTATCCCCCTTAGATACAAAGAGATGGATTGATAATGATGGTGTAAATACCTATGCTTATGGTTATGGTGGTAATACCGTACCGTCGGGAACTGTGAACAACTCTTCTCGTACAAATGCCCTACCCGGTCCATCTTGAAGATAATAAAGAATGGGCTCTCCTTCTTTCGTAACCAATCGACTAATGTTATACGTCTTAAGGGACCATATGGGATCGGTTGCGCGACGTAGGCCTCCTTCGAGTTCACCGGCCTGGTATAAATATCTTACCCTTACTCTATCCGGAAGTTTTCGTTCTTTGCCTCTCCTCGGTGCTGAAGATTCGGAAGTCACTGATTTCATTTTAATAGCATCGGATGGTTTCTTCCCTATTAATCTCGTTACTTCATTATTCAGCGCTGATACAACGGCTGATAATCGTGTCACCCATTCGGTTGATCTCAATCGCTCGGATTTCATTTCGATCCCATACTGATAGCCAAACAAACGTTCCGCTAATGTCCTGTTAAATCTTTCGACGATAGCTTGACTGCGGTGGGCCTCTCTTTCACCACGGACGATTTTGACATCGTTCTTTGTTAACAGTTTAGTTACCGATCCCATAAACTCGCGACCGGGATCTACTTGAAATAGCTTAGGCCATTTTAGCGGTCCACGTTTATATATGCGACTCAGTGCATTAGCTACCTCTGTTGATTCTTTCGATGTTAATGGCTCAGCCTCTTTGTATCGACTAGCCACATCCACTACGGTTAAAGCGTATTTGTACGTTTTGCGTTTTACCTTATCGTGGGGAAGAAACAAGAGGTCAGCCTGATGAACTTCATTCGTTGTAAAAATATCAAACTTCTTCCTCGGTATATAACGCGGTGCCGGTAAATATATCTGCCACATCGCTTGTTTCTTTAACCAATCCTTGGCCACATCTTTAGATACCTTAGCCGTGGTGGCTAATTTTTTTATTGCTCCTACACCTTTCCAATATCCTCGTGGGCTATAGTAAATTTTATCCATTATTAATTAATATTAATATTTCTTTTAAAACGACTTTCGCTGAATCACATCACTAATAGAAGCAATGATTGGCCCCAGGTATTGGTGAGCTAGAGCCAATTTAACTTAATCTCATGACTATCATTAAATCGCATCATCATTTTGGCATAAAAAATTCCTCCTGTAGTAGCAGTATAGGTATAAGAATCCTGCTCCAGTGGAAGTGGTCCTATTACCTATACTACTGAATGATATAGGTCGCGTCAACATTTGTTACTCAATGGCAGACGCAAGAAGCCTGCGCTGTCGTTGTACCCATTTCCATACAGAATATAAAATTAAGGTTACATATGTTTCACAATGTCACTTGATGAGTGTTGTTAGTGCTGCCTGTCCATGTTGATGGCAACTGTCACCGGGTCGTAAAACCAGTCTGGTCACATTCTTGAGATTTACTGCGTCGTCACCGTTCGACAAACAGCTTCCCTTCTCTTATATGCCCGGTGTCGCCACCCTTTAATATTGACAGTAGCGGGTGACTTCGCCAAGGTGAACACTGCCAAGCTGACTGTCGTTTATTTCCCGACGAACGTCAGTATGTCACGTGATTACGTTGTCAATCGCGCGGAGACATACAGAACTACTTTAGGGGAATTCCTCACTGTTATAAAAATAACATTAAAAAATAATTAGGGAAAACTGAGAGCCACATCGATTGAATGATCATGGAATTTGCTTCATCTTCATCAGCTGATCAACGTCAACAAATACAACTTCAATCCTTAAGTTAAGTCGGGCGGATGCCATACTCCGGTGTCTTTACGTTCGTGGTCAGGGAATCAGTGACCTGTAAATTTTAATTTCTAGTGGTTTAAATCGCATACTTCTATCATCCGCCGGAGTTTGCCGAGAGGTGACGACGCAACGGGCAATTAAGAAAGAGGTGAATGTTACGTTCACTAGACCGTGACTAGACTGGTTTTAAGACCCGTTGACATCAACACACGGATATAACAAATCTTTCTGACATTTTGATAAACCACATGATGGGAACATTCAGTGAAGCTTCTTTTTCAAATTTAAGCATTTATGTAAGACCTGCCCACTTGGTTAAGTACACACTATTGCACTATACGACATGCTGTATGTAAGCAGTGTACTGCCCTACCTTTCTATGGCATGGAGTATTTCTTTTACGAAAGTAGCTTCTGTGCATGAACATTCATTGAGTACACTCAAACTCATATATGTACGAGTTCATGCAACCGAACAGTATTCCATTTATATCACGACGTGTCTGCTTAATGTGGGAGGAAACCCACGAACACGGGTATGTTGCTGGCATACCTAATAACATAATCCGGGCGAAGCGGGATTCGAAAAAAACGATCAGACTAAGGGACACAACTGTGTACAGTGAAAAGTGGTGCCTTAGACGACTGGGCCACCCGTGTCCTCCATACATGTACTTGTGGTTCGACCTTTTCTATTGTTATTCCCGAGGTGATATGGGACACAGGCTGCTCAGCTCTCCACATTGCTGAAACCAGGATCGGCGGTTCGAATCCAATATTTGCTTCTGTTATGATTCTAAGTTTGTCAGCACCCCTTTCATGCACGTGAGTTTCTCTATTGGGTACGTTACTTCGAACTTTCCTCCCAAATTAAGCTGACATGTCGGTAAATACTTGCACTACAGTGAGCAGAGTAAGCCCAACATCACTCTCACATGGGTTAAAATAATACATCGCTTTACACATAGCAAAATTAAATGATATACCCGCAAGAGAAACATGTATATGAGGAGTGGAATTCTGAATCCTAGTCTGTAACATTCGTGTGAAGTGATGACATGCGTATGTGTAGGTGGGAGTCTATGCTTCGGGTAATTGATCACATATATAACCACTGTCTCACGACACATTCAAATTCATAATATATGTTGAAATCCATCACAATGAAAGAAATTGATTCCATTTCATTTAACATGGTCGTGATGATTGTCTTTTGCCAGACATCATGTCGGATCTTGTCTCAGTTGCTGCGATCAAGGATCTTCTAACAGAGTGCCCAATATGTACAGAACACTTTGATGACGCAACACGAATTCCCCGTCGTATGCCATGTTGTGTACAGTCCATATGTCAGCCCTGTCTAGAAACCTGCAGTGGAGGTGCTGCAACCCTATCCTGCCCCATGTGTCGACGGCGACATAATCTGCCTGGTGGGGTGAAATCTCTGCCCAAAGAGACTGTCATCCTGAAGACTCTAGACTACCTCAAGATCCAGAAAGGTCTCCATCTACCATGTACAAATTGCCCTGACAAGGAAACAGCTGTAGCTCAGTGTGACAACTGTGGAACATTTTTATGTTCCATTTGCTTAAGTGCCCATAAACGGAATACGGTATCAAAGACCCACACTATAAATACCTTTGATGAAATGAAGGGCCGACCTGTGCAGAGTTTTCGTCGTCTACATCAGTGCAGTCAGCACCAACAACCTCTACAGTTCTACTGCTACACTTGTGACAAGGTCGTCTGTGTGTCCTGCACTGTAGTAGATCACGATAAAGGGAAGGGGCACAACGTCGTGTCTGTGGATGAAGCACACCAAGGAAAAGCGAAGTCCACAAGTGATGTTTTAGGAAAGATAGAAGAGAAGACAAAGAGACTGAGCGAAACGGAGTCAGCCCTTCAAAAGAAGATAGAGAACATCAAATTGTCAATGAAGGTAGCAAGAGATGATATCAATGAAATCTTTGACAACCTGACCGATAGACTGAATCAAAGAAGAACAATTCTTCTATCAGATGTTGAGGGGAAATCTGCTGAAAATCTGAAGCTAACAGAGGAGGCCTTGGATTCGACAAGACTACTGCTGACTAAAGTGAAATCTTCTTCCGAATACATGCAACAGATGCGCAACAAAGCTGACAAGGTGGAAGATCTACAAGTAATGGGATCATCTGAGGCCTCTTTGATCTCCATGTTGAAGGAGTCACCACAGGAAATACCCTTTGACAGGACTGGAGTCACTTTTGTTCAAGGAAACGTAAAACATCTTCAGGATACTATCAAGGTGGCAGGACTGGTCAGATCAGTCACGTTCTCCCCAACAAAGAGGCCGAATGGTATGCCAGATACAGCAGCATACAACGCCATCACACTGGAACCTGCAGAGTTCCCTACAGGTAGGTAGTAAACTATTACATATTGTTCATCTATTTATCATGTGTGCAGCTACCTCCTATGTATGGAATCCTAGAAGGGACACTGTCGCGTTGTCAAATTGTCGCCCTTACAACAATATAGTTCATATATCGTTATTGTCTGTGTCGTTTTTCATAAACCAAATGTGTCTTCACAGCAAGAAACAACGTTGCTATTTCTATTCAATTTAATTCTGGTCTCAGACATCTTCTCAATTCAACGGCCCTGTCGTTCGCGTCTTTTACAAATGTGAGTGAGTGTATGCGTAAGGTTTTACGTTGCTTTTAGCAATATTCCAGCAATATCAAGGCGGGGGGACACCAGAAATGGGCTTCATAAATTGTACCCATGTCGGGAATCGAACCCGGGTCTTCAGCGTGACGAGCGAACCCTTCAGCCACGAGTCTACCCGCCTGCCCCCTTACAAATGTAGAAGTACCAAAAAACTGTGATCGTGGAATTGAACCCCAGAACCATAACTGTAATTTAGTTCAAAGCGGCGTTAAACCACAGGTCACGTTAGTCACGGGGAGTCCTTGGATGGGTGACTGTGTTCGGCTGCTTGGCGCCTAAGAGTTTCTAGGGCTTCGGTCCTGCCCAACGCTGAAGCACATGCACATGTGGTGCCTCTTTGGGCAAGGAAATTCTCACATTATCAGCTTGTCGTCATGATATTTGATAACTGGTCATTATGTGACTTGTGTGATATCTTGACAGCGTAAATTGTAAGTTATTCTTTATGGTGTTACTACTTCGAAGACATTGAATATGTATACTGAAAGGCAAAAGAAACGTCACTTCTGAAAATACTGATAAAACTTAACAGACACTGGCAGTAACATGTTGTTTGGTCAATAAACTCATTTATCGTTCTACTGCTTCTTTTTGTTGCCTTAAAGTCCATTTAACAATTGAGTGTAAAATGGAGTGCTTTGCCCAAACGCAGCCTACAAAAGTGCAATGGGACTCAGTTGCGAAAAGTCTTGTCAAAAACATGATGCACGTGCATATCGTGGATGGTATGGATATAAAAGACAATCAAAACTGTTAAGCTGGCTTTCGTTATTTCGATTAATCAGCTATGCCAAGATTATCAGGTAATGAGAGGCAACAAGCGATCGGAAGACTGCAAGCAGGCCAGAGTGCACAGATCGTTGCACATGCATTCAATGTCAACGTCAGAACGATATATCGTTTGCAACATCGCCACAACATCACCACCGACGACCGACGACCGACCGCGTAGTGGTCGTCCTTGAGTCACTATTCCCAGACAAGATACGCCCAAATCTGCAGAATCGATTCCGAAAGGCCACTGAAACAGCTGGGCAAACCTTTGGCAACCACCAGCGTGCCATCAGTGATCGTACAGTCCGGCGTCATCTAACTGCCAACAACATCTCGTGCCACCGTCCTGCTCGTGTACCCATCCTGAGAGATCGTCACCGACAGGCCCGACTGCATTGGGCCAGGCAGCATCAAAATTGGCGTCAACAACAATGGAGAAGTATCGTCTTCACTAATGAAAGTCGCTACTGTGTTTCAACGGTGGATGGCTAACGTTATGCTGATGCTTGTGTTATGGAACGAGACCCGTGGGACGGCCCAAGCATCATGGTTTGGGTGTAATCGGACTGAACTTTTTTTGCCCGTCATCAAAACCACACCTTTCAGCAAGACAACGTCGGTCCCCACACTTCCAGAGTCACCAGGGACTTCCTCCAGCAGCACAACATCCAAATCATGCCTTGGCCTGCCCTCAGTCCGGATTAGAATCCCATTGAACTCTTGTGGGATGAGATCCAACGCCGACCCAACGACGTACGCCCAAGGCCGACAACTACAGCAGAACTGCGTGTAGCGTTCCTGAGGATATGGACCCATATCCCCATATTAATGGCCTTCATCAACAGGCTAGTCCACTGCATGTACAGGAGAAGTGTGGCTATAGTCAACGCCCGTGGTGGCCACACCATGTACTGATTTTGAACCCCCCGGCTATGATGTCTTTTGTTGCCTCCCCAAATTCACAATTCGCTAAAACCTTCCCCAGACTGTGGGTCAAACACTGACTTTCTCCGACGAGATCATCGGCCCTGTTATTCTACCGCTTTTGCGTCGTCATGGCCCAGGCATTACCTTTCCTCGTGACAACGCCCGGCCTCATATTGCTCGACTTGTTCGATATTCTCTTCAACAAAACAACGTGTATGTTATCCCCTGGCCGGCTCGCTCCCCTGATCTCTCACCAATCGAGCACAAGTCGGATGAGATGGATCGGCGCCTTCAACGTCAACCACGTGTTCCACAGACGCTCCAGGAACATATTCCAGCATACATGGACAGATATCCCACAGGACTTCCATGAGACGAAGATGTGTTGCTTGCATCGCAACCAGAGGTGGACACACACGCTATTGATGTGTAAATTGACATTTTGGCATGTTCATGTTTTTTAATGAAATCACGCATTTTCTGAAGTCAGTATGGCAAATTAAACCATTTGAATTCTTATAGGAGTCTTTTATCTGTTGGAAACCGAAATTGTTTCAGATTTGGTAAAAAACGGGTGGCCTAGTCGTCTAAGGAGCCGCGATTCGCTGTGCAGAGTTGTGGGTTCGAATCCCGGTTCGCCCCGATTTTGTTTCTTGGTTTGTCAGCACCATACCCGTGCTCGTTTATTTCACCGAAGACCTGCATCACATCGGGCTTTCCTCCCACATGAAGCTGACACACCGTGATATAACTTGAATACTGTTAAATGCGGCGTAAAACACAACTCACTCACTATTCAATGTCACAGGATCTTTTGTTGTTCAGCAAACTCCCGAAGACTGTTTCACAACAGGGGTGATTCCAACTTTCCAACTTTCCAAAAGTGAACTTCCCCTTTGTGACGAGCAGTATTCCAGCACCGACGTTTCAGCATTTTTAGGTTACACTAGTAGATGTTCTTTCTCCGAAGATTTCTAGGAGCGTCAAACGACTCTTTTGTTCAAAAGTTGTGATCTGTCTCTGATGTTTCTGAAAGCTGTAACATAATATTCCATATCCAATACTATCACCAATGTTCTGCTCGTGCAAACGTAACCAAATCCATAAATGTCAAGTAAATGTTTAATATGAGTTGCCCAAGTAATTCTATCACATTCATCCAGCTCCTTCATTGTGAATAACATTGTCGGGGATATCTGTCATCATTCATTCTAATTGGTTTATACCAGCATTTAACACTCTTCATATGATAATCCACGTAAACCATATCTGTGTCACATTAAATATATCATTCAGAATATTCAGTTATTTTACAAATTGACTGAAAAATGTATCATAACGAATTCCAATAGATGTTTAATTTCACACCCCAGCTGAAAATGATAGGATTAAAACAAAACGAAAGTCAAAGTACATTTCTTTATTTTTTGGTCTATATGTATGCTGTTATGGAAATGTTTGTTGTTACGTTTGATTTATGTTTCCATAAATCGAACACAAATAGGGCCGTAGTTGCATTAATGCGCTGAACAATAAACTAATTTTGTTTTGTTGTTCTTTTGTGTTAAGGATTAAAAAGACACCCTGTGAAGTCATAACTTCAACGTACTTATTTAGAAGAATTGACTTCATATGTAGCCTCAGCTACAAATATGCAAATATTTCAGTGTACACGTAATTGACACTTACGTTTGTGCGGATGTGTTACATTAATGAACATAAACAAAAGACATAAAGACTGTTCCCTGAATACATACTGCAAATATTGATCGATAACAATATATATAGTTATTTAACATTTCGACTAACAGACAGCTCATAATCACTCAATGATAGTGTTTACTTTCACAGATATAGATACTGAAGCTGAATTCGTTGAGGTCACAAATCATAATTAATGAGGATATCATACTACATAAAAAGGAAGTAATAACGAAATGGATGGGCGTATCACACATGTGAATTAGTCCCCAGATTCAAGCATTCATGACTCATGGTGTGCCATCAATAATCAAGTGCCAGCATATATGATGAAAACTGAAAATTTGATACATGTTTGTTTGACGTCATGACTTGTTTTATGTCTTTGGAGATGTGGCATTGAGACAAGACGACAGTGGTATATTGATAAATATATATTTCATCAACATTCGTTCAACTGAAAAAAACAACCTGGATGTGTAAAACAGAATTTGATACTTTTTCGGCAACAATAAATTAGGCCTATATGATGTAAGTAATGTCTTTGAAAAAAAAAAATTAGTTCGTTTATTTTAATTTCATAACATGCGTAATTGTTGAACATTAATATAATTTAATCCAATTTTTTTTCTAAAAAGTCTATTGTTAATATCGGACGTATGTGTTTAAATAGAATGTGTTTATTCTTTTCATTTTGTCTCAGTATTTTACATATTATAAGAATAAAATATGATTAATTTTGTTATTTAAGCATTGGCGTGCATGCACCGACGTTTATACAGTTTGACCCTTGCTCTATGTAAGCCCATCCTCACACAAAATGTCAAACTGAATTCTTATCATTCTTTTATTTCACTATTTTATGCCTCGAAGGATGTGTACACATCTTCAAATAGTAGGTCATGTTTACACTGGCCACCGTTAACCAACCAGCTGCATCTCGGAGAAATAGTTTCTCAAAATAAGAAGTGAGATGAGCGTATGTATGCTCAAAATGTTCCACAGTAACATCGTTTGTAGTTTGGTTACAACATACATGTACAAATGTAAAGGGTATTAACGTCGCTTTCCAGATTATTGTACTGACATAGCTACGTTTGCGTGCATGTATGCGTATATATATATATATATATATATATATATATATAATATATATATGTGTGTGTGTGTGTGTGTGTGTGTGTGTGTGTGTGTGTGTGTGTGTGTGTGTGTGTGTGTGTGTGTGTGTGTGTGTGTGTGTGGCTCCTTGTACTGCTCCTGTTGCTCCTTTGGACCAATGCCGATTTCTTAGAGCTAGGACACCGAGATACCATGACGGAAAGTTCACTTCGGCAATCATGTTTGCGGCTTTTTTTCTAAAACGGACTGAACGATTCTTTGGTTCGTGGTGACGTTTCAGAAAAAAATTGTTGTCTTGACAAATCAGATGCCAGTGATCTCGACTCAACCCCGGATAATCACAGAAAAACACATCTGCAGCAGAATTCAAAACTATGAAGTGCGTTTAATGTGCATGATGTTGAATATGTTCTATTCGACCTCAAAGACATATATGTCCCTGTGGTATCCAGGGGATAACGGTCTGTCAGACATTATCGTGCCCTGTCAGCTTGACATGGGACGAACACCAACTTGGCGCACGTTGATGGCTGGGATTCCATTACGTGTGGCAGCTGATACAGTCCCGTCCAGTGAATTGCATGTTGTACTTCCCTTTTCACATGATGATTCTGTTAAAACAGGAACGTTCTGCATTATTTGTTTGTTTGTTGTTTGAATTAGCACTCAGCAATATGTCAGCTATATGACGGCGATCTGTAAATAATCGAGTCTGACAGTCCAGTAATTGACACAATAAGCATCGATGTGCGCAATTGGGATTCGATGACATGCACCAACCAAGTCAGCGTGTCTGACCACCCGATCCCGTTAGACTTATTCTGACCCGGATCTTCACGGTAGACCTTCTTCATTAAAGTAGTGCGAGCAGGCAGTACGTGTACATGGGACACACATAATGATTAATATCTTTGTTTCAGTGATGGAGATGGACCGGAGCCTCTGTGACCAGGAGATAATATGTAAGATCTGCGTCCTTCACTCAATGATGTTACAGTATATTATTAATGGGTTTTGTCATTCATTTGTCTGTTGAGTTCGATAGGTTCGACCACTTTCGAGATCTAAAAGAGCGTAAATCGCAGTGTCAGTCAATGTTAAAGTATAGGAGCTATGATAGGATTTGCGTTAGCGATGTTCCATGCAAGAGGTTCTTGGGTTTTCAATGTTATGTTTAAGAAATATACGAGTGAGTGAGTGAGTAAGTGAGTGAGTGAGTGAGTGAGTGAGTGAGGTTTTACGCCACTTTGACGTGGGGAATCAAACCCGGGCCTTCGGCGTGACGAGCGAACGCTTTAACCACTAGGCTACCCGACCACCCCAGTATATAGGAGGAGAACGCTTATGACATTTGAAAGTGACATAACACGTCTTATAAATGTCTATGATAACTTGTGACTTTCTTTTTCTGGTTGGTAGATAGCAGTGTCTTGTCAGTTGGGAAGTTAAAGTGTTATACATTACAACAAGATGTGTTGGTATTTATTATGGACGTTTTCTTCCGACAGGTCCGACTCTGGAATGGGACTCAAGCACTGCTCATGACACTATTGACGTGTCTGGATGTGTTATCACAAACACCACCTCAGCCGGCCCTTCTCATGACACAGGATGTCGGATGCAAAGCATCAATTCATGTCTGGCATCAAGGCCTTTAATGGTTAAAAACTGTGAAGCCCAGCGATGCATGTATCGAGTAAAGTTTCGGGTTCGTGTAAACGAATTGATAGAAGATAATCAACTTATACATGAGATTGCCCTGACCCCCACCCCTGTAGATGCTCTCTGTTATCAAGGCACTGGATTGAGTGTACTTGTTGCTACATGCCTCAACCACAAGCAGCAGCTGTGTCTCCGTGTGGGCTATAATAACACCTTCCTCACTGATCGCCCTCTCATTCAGAACAGAGTTGGACAGTCTTATGACCAACAACTGTGTTTACTGATGGATGGGGTTAATGACAAAATATTAGTTATTGATGCCAGTGATAACACAGTGTACACCACCGTCACAGATGTAGCTTTTGACAGACCCATGTGGGTCATGATGTATGTTGGTTGTGCCGCGAATTCAGATGTAAGAGGAGAACTGATTACAGGCCACAACATCACAGGAACCTTCGCCAACTACAATCATTAGACTAGTTGACACTATCCACAACAATCACACACTCTATGTAACATGCAATGTACACAAGCACAGCTCAGTAAAATAATATGTATGCCTTTGACACATTACCAACTTGTGTACATATGTAAAAACACGTTTGATTTACATGTTCAATACAAATACGAATGTACCCGTGAAGATCCGGGTTAGAATCCTGCTTGCCGCAAGAGACGACGTTGCTTGTCGTTAGAGGCGACTAACGGGATCGGGTGGTCAGGCACGCTGGCTTGGTTGATGTTTGTCATCGTATCCTAATTTTGTAGATCGATGTTCATGACACGAATCATTGGGTCCAGACACTTCTGACATTTGAAGCAACACGGCTGATGTTCAGTACCTTTCCTCAGTATCTTACTATCTCAAAGCATAAAGCGATAAAGTGGACATTCGTTAAACGCAGACTAGAATAACAAAGTTTACGACTGAACATTCTCATGCTAGCATAAAATGCGTCTTACGTTCGAAGAGTGTTATATCATACAATCATATCAATTCTCAATTACCTATCATCGCATGCTGACTACGGCAAATACTATTTCAAGTAAACATGACACTGTTGTGTCGTTGCCGTGGCTCATTATGAATGTATACACACATGCAGGTGGAACAGTACTATCATAGAATATAATATATAAATATAGAATTGACCACAACTTTGAAAGTCCTGACACAAAAAAAGTCTTCGTTGAAATCATCTGAGGATCGCCATATCACCTCAGTCAACGTGTGGCAACGGATAATTCATGGGAGATAACCCGTGTAGTACTAATGGGGCACCACCACATCCTCGCCTGTAATCAACTCATTTCAACAGTCCCGTGATGTTTGTTGTTACCATGTTTTACTGCAATTGTAAATAGCCCGTATTTATGTATTTTCATTTTTTAGACATGATGTACTTTTTCATCTGATTTCAAGTTCTCTACTTCGACCATGTTTATGACGTTCACAAAGGACTACGTCATTTAATGTCAGCGAGATTGTTATATATAAAGCTATGTCAGTCATATGACGTCATCTGAGTAAGTAAAACACCCCCAATGTAAGGGTTGGACTGGAAATTATATTTTCATTAGGGTTTTTATGACTCGGGGCACGGGCTGCCCAGTCGTCCAATGCAACATGATTCGATGTGTCATGGACGGGGATAGCCAGGTGACCGTGCTTTAGAATGTTATACTTGGATTAAGGTTCTTGGTTCATGACTAATATTTCCGTGATTTCAACATTAAACTGACGCGCTCTTATTTAACTGAGCTAATGCTGAAAGGAACTTACACACTCCAACCCAAATTACTTTGACGACACAGTAATGATGGCTGACTTGACCTGGAACAAGAAACACTCTTAAAATATGAACGTGTGTTTCCTACCTGTGTAGTTATGTAGGATGGGGTGAGGTTGGGTAATTTATGTTTCTATCGTTGCTTCAAGGTAGGTTGGGGTGAGGGTGAGTAGGATGTCAACAGTCAAGGCTGGTTAAAAATAATCGTGTGAAGATCATTGTTTCGACCCTGGAAATCCAGACTAAGCCTATTTTGGAAGATTGACCGGTGTTGCTTCAAGATAGGATGGGGTGAGGTTGGGTAGGATGGGGTGAGGCTGAGTTGGGTGGGTTGGGGATAGGGAGGAAGTCGTATTCAATGAAACCTTTTCGAATGATATTTTTTACGTGACTGCTTCACCTCTTGCATAACACCACAGGAAAGAAATCATCTGGTAAAATTTGTGGTCATGTTATTCTCTGTGGAATTATTATCCAAAGTTCTTTCAACAGTGATTTATCAGTATCAGCAGTAATAATTTATGTTTCTACTGTCTACAACAAATATCTATTTGTATTATGATGTTATCTTAACTGGATTATGAATGAAATAGTGAAGTGCAACATTCAGGTTATGTTGCCATGTTATGAATGGGGCTTCAAAATTGCTTGAATTTGTGTGATAAACATCGTATTTAAACTTACCCTGTTTTGAAATTTGATGTAGTCCCACTGTAGAGGAGATACCTCTTATTTGAATTTGTAACCGAGCGCTTTACACGAAATAAGATGACAACCCGATCTATGATGTGGTTCCACATTAACCGGTTGATTTACTGGGAATGAGCCTGCTGGTGCAATGTCATTGTCAATGGAACTGGAACAGCCGCTTGTTAGGCATTTTATGACACAAGTGATTTTTTTACCTGTCAGTTTCAACATTTCACGGCATTCGACGCTAATATTTGAAAGAAATGTCACAGTTGTGGCTCTTACACAGAAGTTCTGTAGCGAGAAAACGCTACATTCATCATGAACTAGTGTCCAGAATAAACATTTGTGCCCATTAGACAAGGCAACTATGCGTACGCACGTAGGCTTCAAACATTCCATTGAGTGGTCACTGAGTGCATCTGCTGAAATGTCAACAGTCAAGGCTGGTGAAAAATAATCGTGTGAAGATCATTGTTTCCACCCTGGACATCCAGACTAGGCCTATTTTGGAAGATTGACCGCTGTTGCTTCAAGGTAAATATTAATGTCAATGACTTTATGGCTCTCACATATACTTTTGTGGATTTTCTACAGCCACTTTAGTGTATTCACCCGTTGTAATTACTTTGCAGTAATTTGTACCGATTTGAAAACTTAGTTAAATCTATATGGCAGTTGTTGATTGTATAGCATTTCTTTGCCGTTTGTTGGGTTTCACACTAAATTCTTTTACACATTGATTGATAGGTCAACTTGTTTCAATTTCAATTTCAAAATGTATTTGTCAACTTGCACTTTTTTATTTATTTACCTTGGAAATCTAGAAAGATCCTGACAACTTCATGCGTGCTGAAAGAGGCAACCAAACTACGGATCAGATGGTCAGGTTCTGTGACTTGGTTGATTGTATGTCATTGGGCATGCATGTTGCTTTCAACCACCGGTAAGCCTGATCTAGACTCGATTATTGATAGGCCCCCATCCCATGACACAGAAGGAGCATTACCAATTCCATCTTCAAAACTACCTATACTCACTTGCAAGTAGCAGCCTTGTTAAAGGCGACTGCTGTAATCTATTTTGTGAATTTGTGACTGTTTCAAATTATTAATTTAGGTAGTATTTTATGTTGCTAATGTCAATCGCCAGGAAGGGCAACAGGTACCATCTTTTAGAGTATTTTGGTATGACGCGGCCGGGAATTGAACCACCAACTTTCCGCTATCTGGGCAGACGCACTATCCACTAGGCCACAGATGCGATAAATATGATGCTTGAAGGAGATGTGACATGGCAAATGTACAACCTGATTGTATCTGATTCATTGTAAACAATAAATGTGCTTAAAGGTGATAGTACTACGGGTTAAAACGCTTTATAGCGCTTTTATTACTTTAGGTTAAGTTCTTTTAAATTATGACAAGCTAACTAACTCTAAGCTATGCCGTCTGTGACAGTTAAACTCAAACTGAAAAGTTTAACTTCAGTCAAACTATTGTTAACAAGGAGATAAGTACATATCTAAATATGCTACCAGTGATAAATACGACGAACTGACGTCTTTGCACGCGGAGAAAACAATCAAATAAAGTTCAAGGAATTGCTTCATGCATGAAGTCGCTAAGGTCAAATATCGCATCTCCATGATAATACATCAAACGTTTTGAATGAATGCGGAAACCTAACTTAACACATCTGAAAGAGCATATTTTATATTGAATCTGTTTTTTACTGTTTTATTGTATATACCTTTTTTATGATTGCAAAGATTATTCCTGTGGCTATACGGGTGAAATGTTGACGAAATGATGTTGTGTAACACAATCACTAACTGAAACAGGAACGCGGCCATTGAGATAACCTACAACGATAACATCAAACCCTATTGTAATAACTAACCCGGCCGTCTATGTGAGCATTGTCAAAACCTGTCAGTTCTCGTGTGTGTGACACATATGCAGGGCTGTAGGTCAGTATACGCCCCACGTGCGAATTACAACAGAAATAGCTTCAAGAGACGTTCGTGAGTGAGTACAGTTTATGTTGCAATAACCTAGGATATAACTTTCTTTTTCAATAACACACTCTGCAATAATCCAGCTATAAATCGGCGGCCTGTATATAATCGAATCTGACCAAGATTATCCAGTGATTGATAATATAATGAACAGCGATCTATGCTGAGGTATGATGACGCCTAATCAACCAAGTCTTCCAGCCTGACCACCATATTCATTTTCTCGCCTCTTTCGAGCCGCATAGACTGCAAGTGACTAAATTTAATAGAGAATCCCCAGGAACCAGAGGCAGGATGTTTCAGAATCCATGCAGAAACTGATTATTGTTTTTGAAAGGAAAGGGCATTGTTATACAGGATATATGAAGACTACTGGTATAAGTATATTTAAGCCTCGCTTAATTGGATATGTGTTTAAAGATGTGTGTGTATCTAGAATCGTGAAAAAAGATATTAAACTATTCGTGGTTGTGAATGGTGTAAACCTTCATTTGCCTGACATCATCAATACTCCACGGGGTGGATAACACTGTATTCTTCTATATGAAGCAATGTCAACACACATCGTTCTTTAGTATCAGGGTGCAATATAGTGTAAACACGGAATATATACATATATAAAAGCACAAATATATTGACATACAAATATATATAACTATAAATAATATATACATATATATATTTGTGTTAGTTTTAAGCCACACACAAACCTACAGACATATGAGGCTATGACAACGCGAGCATGTTATTGACCTTACCATGTAACCTGCCAAACATAGCACTGACCAAAGATAATAGAACGTCAGGAAAGAAGACGGATCCTTGTGAGACATTAAAGGCTTTTTTAGCAGTGGTTTTAAACTCAATAATGAGGCCTTAGAGTCAACTAAACAACTGCTAGACAAACCTCAGGTAAACTCTTCTTTGGACAACCACACGGCAGATTAGGTGTAGAGCTGACCAGACAGAAGGTCTACACATTATGACGTCATCGGCTGCTTCTTTCACAAAGATGTTGCAGGAGTCTGACATTGAGATACAATATACGAGGACAGGCGTAGGCCTTGCACCTGCCAACATGACCAACCTTTCCTCCGCCATCCAGGGAGCAGGACTGATAAGGTCAGTCGCATACTTCCCAACAGAGAGGCCGGGATATGTACCATTGAATGACAGATACAATGCCATCACACTGACACCTGCAGAATTTCAAAAGGGTAAATTAATTTTTATTATGTACATGTATGTAAAAATATCTGTAAAATGTTATTGTCGACATGAGGTAGCTGTGGTTCGACAATTTGTGATGACTACTGTCCCACGTCTACTTATAATGACTTAACTTTTTAACTAAATGTAAACGGTTGTGTATATACATATATATATATATATATATATATATATATATATATATATATATATATATATATAATTGTAGTTTGTTTGAGTATGTTGTAGTAAAACTAACATTTAGTTTTTAAATAGATAAAGGTATATCATAATCTTTAGTTCGACAGGTGTTGAATTTACAGTTAGTTACATTGTAATCTGTTTTAGTCGATTATGTGGGCAAGACCATTTCCAGTGGAGGTAAAGCCATTTCATGTGAGATGTCATGTGTTTAAGCTCCAACTTATCTTACTCATGGGCCCATCAACATAAGGGGCACTGCTTGACCTGTGGTGTAAGGCTCCTGTGCGGATTTCCGTAGACAGTTATGCCAATGTCTGATGATGATGGGTTTGAATCATAATTTAACCCTGACCATGACTCTTTGTTTGTCTACATCATACGCATGCTCGTCGGTTCCACAAGCACCAGATGCTTACCGTAAGAGGCGACTAACCAGATCGGCTGGTCAGGCTCGCTGTCTTGTATTTTGTTTGTCATAATATCCCAATTGGGCAGGTCGATGCTCATGATCTCATTCACTGGATTGGCTGGTCCAAACGCGAATATTTACAGACCGCCCTCATATAGCTGGCGGCGTTAAATAACGAACAGACAAAAAATTCCAATCTACAGATAGTCGTGAAGGTTAGATGGATAGATGAAGGACATTTTTAAAAAACCCATATAACTGTTCATATGATTTGCTTTCTCTTGTACTATATATTTCGTTGAAATGAAATGTAACTTTTTTCACTTCAAGGAATAATACATGGGAGGTGGAAAATACATATTTCGTCATGTATCATTTTAATAAAAACATTCTCAGTTATGAGGCGGCTGTCAACTTGAATGGGAGTTATGTTATACTGATTCAATAACGTGTATTTGTGAATTAGATTTACAATGAATGTGTTTTGTGTTATTGGTTTGTCGTTTGTTTCCTCCCTAGGTCCGCTCCTTGAATGGGACTGCAGTACAGCGAGTGACGACATCACTGTATCTGATACTTTGGTAACAAATGAAAAGCCCAAAACTCCGCCACAAGACACAGGATGTCGAATAAGGTCGTGGAGACGTCTGTTGACATCAAGACCTTTGGTTATCAGAGGCGGAAGACGAGAGATGTTTCTGGTGAAAGTCAGCTTCTCTTTGAAACAGGTCACTGAGAAAAGAAGCATGGTATTTGAGACAGCAATGACTGCCAACCCCGCAGATACTTGCTGGAACCAATCAACTGGACTAAGTGTACGCATCATAGGATGTCCAAAGCATAAGCACCAGCTCTGTCTCTGGGTTAGGTTTGATGGCAAGCTCCTCTCTGATATTCCTATTGCTTGCAATCAAATTGGTGAGGCAGGTGCCTTACATCTAGGCTTTCTACTGGACGGTAGGAGCAGTAAAGTGTATGTTGTTGACCTTGACAACACGACAGTGATTCAGTCTGTGACTGACATTGTGTTTGACAGACCATTCTGGGTTATGGCGTATCTAGATGCATCCCAAGATTCAAACATGGCGTGTGAACTTGTATCAGGTCACAACCTTACACTATCAGAAGGAATGACCCAGTTGTTGTTATCTCTATAGGAAGGTGACTGGGCGGGGGAATAAACGTGTAAAATGCGGAAAGAAGGAGCCAGTAAAACATCGTTGGAGAGGATGGTCCCTTGGGCAGAATCCGACGTCCATTGTGAAAGAATAAAGACTTCATGATTATCCCCACCCGTTCAGATACCAGGGACCATTGTGTACATCCCATCCCATCCTTTCTTGCTCACCCAAAAGGCTCGAACCATATTGTGTCTTAAATTCTACTCTACTATGTTTTATGTCAGATGTGGAGGACACGTGATGAAAATTATGTCGATGTAATTCCTTGTTTTAACTTTTCCTTATGTTCCCGCGTTTGTGCAGGAGGACTCTTGAACTACTTTTGCATGTCTTAGTGACGGGTGCCACCGGTGGACCTGGATGCTCTCACCTTATCATCACTAATTGATGGTGATTCATAGACACCTGCTTACAATATAGTCGGAATCGTACAACAGACTTTGCCTTCAAGCAGAGATTTTTCTTTTTATTCTGTAACAGCTTTTGTAACTTTTAATTCATAGTCTACCGAAACGCTAAATACGCAATGCTGATGTTTCTTGATATATCTTTGCAGTACTAATTGATTGATTCTTTTAATTGAAGACAGAAAGTTATCATCAGTGTTTCACATATCGAATATATATATAAACGGATTAACTATGAGTCTTGATACCAGTAAGCATGCCTTTGTTTATCCCTCTTGATTCCTCTTGATATCTTCCATGTCGCCATTACCCCTGATATACAAAACCTGTAAGTTAAACGATTGTGTCTCAACTTGCAAAAATAATTATTTTTCTTCTGGAACACCATTTTCGATTAACAACACAAATTAACTAAAGAAATACAAAGATAGATCAAACCAAGATAGATATCATATATTCAGATTATACACTTTTGATTGTACTCAGAGTGATATTGCACATTATTATAGAGCCAACATGACGACGGTCACATCACAGCGGGTGTATATAAAGTAACCAGACCCTCGTTACACCCCTGCGGGGATGATGAGGCTTTTCAGTGCATTTTGAATGGGCGATTGATATCAGCCCCGGATGGAGTGCGTCCTCTGCTCGGCTAGCTTTCCCATGACAATGTCTTCTAATCAAGGTGAAAATGTTATGGGTGCGTTTTGCATTTTTTTATTGTGTATGATAAAAATGTTATTTTATCGACCACCAATCATTTGGCCCACGTTTTGACATGGGGGTCTGGGTTTGATATGGAGTATGATATATATGAAAACTGTTGTTAAAAACTTGAGTTACCACTGACACTGGTAATATGTAATCATTTATCAATTTGTTCCGACAGCTACTCCCATATTCGTCTGCAAGAGGTCTGTGCATATACGTTCCTGGTTGTACCCACGACACACCACAAGCTGTGATCGAAGTACACTGTTTACAACTGACCTATGACCATTGTATGAGACTGCACACACCATACGAGGTAGTCATGTCTTCAGAGCCGTTATTGTGCAAATACGTAGGGTCCTGGTTGTAACCGTGGCACCCCACACGGAGTTATCGAAGTAGACTGTTGACAACTGACCTACTTTACTGTTACATGACACGACACACACCATATGAGCTATTCCTTGAGTAGTTCTTATCACGAAAGTAGCTAGTGCGCGTGTGCAGATAAGGCGAAGGTCGTTTAGTGTCTGCAGTATTCGCCTCCTGTTCAAACACTCTTCTCTACTGTCATTTCTCGAAGGTAAGAAAGTGACTCAGTGTGTTAATAATGACATGTCACCTTACCAGAATCACACAACGTTTGTAATTTAGCAGCTTTACCTTTGGACTAGTGATTGTATAAATAGATGTGAATCTCGAGTTACTTCCTGGTTCTTATCAACACCTGAATGATATAGGTCGCCCTGGACCACGTCAAAGTTTGTTTCTCAATCGCAAGAAGCCTCTATATACAGAATATAAAATTAAGGTTATATTTTTCACAATGTAACTTGACGAGTGCTGTTCGAGTTTCCTGACTATTTTGTAAGACCCTGTGAATATACATGAAAACGAAAGTAGCCGCAATGTTCAGATTTTAACAAGTTGATCACCAACACACGCATATAATTATAACTTACTGATATTTTGACATTTCACGCGTTTCACAGTTTAGGAAAGTTAAAACAGTAAAGCTTTTTCAAAAAAATTGCATTACTGCAGGGGCTGCCCACTAGGTTCGGCACTACACACTACTTCAGTTTATGATGTGATCGTGTACACAGCGTAGTGACCTACTTTTCTAGGGCATGGAGTATTTCTTTTTGCGAAAGTGTCTACTGCACTTGTACATTCATGGACTACATCAAGGTGAGGTGAGGTGAAATGGGGTTTAACGTCGCGTCCAAGATTATTGCACTTATATAGCGACGTGCATGTACGTGTGTGTGTTTGTGTGGCTGCTTGTACTAGTCCGGACTGATGCCGATTAATAGTGCTAGCTCACTGAGATACCATGCCGCAGTTTAACATGAATACCCCACTCAGACACAGTATACTGACTCCGAGCCGACCAGTCCTTGTTTTAGCCCCTTAAAGCCGAGCTCCAGACAGGGTAACAACAAGTACCATCTTTTAACGTCTTTTGGTATGACGCGGCCGGGGATCGAATCCCGGACATTCCGCTCTCCAGGCGGACGCTCTACCACTAGACAACGGAGGCGGTCATTGAACTACATCAAACGCATATATGTACGAGTGAGTGAGTTGGGTTTAATGGCGCATTGAACAGTATTCCAAGGCGTGTCTGCTCCCTGCATGATTCCCAGCAGGATTTAAACTTTGGTCACCCGTGGCTGTACGTTATATAAACCAATCTTAAAAAACTCAGCAACTACAAAAACGCACAAAATACAATTAAAGCTCCACATACAAGTCTATTTTATATACATTGATCCAGAACTCATGAAATCAGCTGCCGGAGTACAATACTTTCACACTGCGAGTTGTGTATTTGACGAGTAAAATCATGAATATCTTCTTGGTTCTTATGAACGCTTGGATATAACACTTCCAGTTTGTAACATGCCTGTGAAGGGATGATATTTCGATGTTAAGGTGGGAGTCTTGAAGCTGATCCATTGTTTCCCAACTATGCCTTTACTCATGGAATGCTTAACACGTACAATACACACATATAACCACTGCCTCACGACACATCACAATAAAAGAAATTGATACCAGTTCATATTTCATGTTCATTATCATTATGTCTTTTCTCAGACAAACATGTCGGATCTTATGTCAGTGGCTGCGATCAAGGATCTTCTGACAGAGTGTCCAATATGTACAGAACACTTTGATGAGTCAACACGAATTCCTCGTCGTATGCCATGTTGTGTACAGTCAATATGTCAGCCCTGTCTGGAAACCTACACTGGAGGTGCTGCAACCCTATCCTGCCCCATGTGTCGACACCGACATAATCTGCCTGGTGGGGTGAAATCTCTGCCCAAAGAGACTCTCATCCTGAAGACTCTGGACTACCTCAAGATCCAGAAAGGTCTCCATCTTCCATGTACAGATTGCCCTGACAAGGAAACAGCTGTAGCCCAGTGTGATAACTGTGGAACATTTTTATGTTCCCTTTGCTTAAGTGCTCATAAACGGAATATGGTAACAAAAGCCCACACTATAAATACCTTTGATGAAATGAAGGGCCGACCTGTGCAGAGTTTCCGTCGTCTACATCAGTGCAGTCAGCACCAACAACCTCTACAGTTCTACTGCTACACTTGTGACAAGGTTGTCTGTGTGTCCTGCACTGTAGTAGATCACAAAGAAGGGAAGGGACACAACGTCGTGTCTGTGAATGAAGCACACCAAGGAAAGGCGAAGTCCACAAATGATGTTTTAGGAGAGTTAGAAGAGAAGACAAAGAGACTGAGCGAAACGGAGTCAGCCCTTCAAAAGAAGATAGAAAACATCAAATTGTCAATGAAGGTAGCAAGAGATGATATCAATAAAATCTTTGAGAACCTGACCGATAGGCTGAATCAAAGAAGAACAATCCTTCTATCAGATGTTGATGGGAAATCTGCTGAGAATCTGAAGCTAACAGAGGAGGCCTTGGATTCGACAAGACAACTGCTGACTAAAATGAAAACTTCATCCGAATACATGCGACAGATGCGCAGCAAAGCTGACAAGGTGGAAGATCTACTGGTAATGGGATCATCTGAGGCCTCTTTGAACTCCATGTTGAAGGAGTCACCACAGGAAATACCCTTTGACAGGACTGGAGTCAGCTTTGTTCAAGCAAACGTACAACATCTGCAGGATACTATCAATGTGGCAGGAATGGTCAGATCAGTTACGTTCTCCCCAACAGAGAGGCCGAATGGTATGCCAGATACAGAAGTATACAACGCCATCATACTGGAACCTGCAGAGTTCCCTACAGGTAGGTAGTAAACTATTACATATTGTTCATCTATTTATCATGTGTGCAGCTACCTCCTATGTATGGAATCCTAGAAGGGGCATTGTCGCGTTGTCAGATTGTCGCCGTTACAAAAACAAGCCAAAAGTGTCAAAATTAACCAAAGCGTGACAATGCGATAATGCAAGAATGCAACAACAAGACATTTGGCTATTTGTCACATTGTCACATCATCGAATTGTTGCGCTTTGAACAATATTTCATATTTTACTAAAGGTCGACAATGCAACATTTTTCAATTTGAAAATATGTCACGTTGTCGCCCATCAAAACTGTGTGAAAAGGGCGTTAAAATGCGCGACAACACGACAATGCGACGTATTGATTTTGTTGCATTGACGAGTTGACGCCCTGTTCAATTATTGGTGCACATGCGTTGTTAGTAAATTAATCTACGCATGCGCACACATGGTTATACCTCTTTTTAAACTCCAGTGGTCATTTGCTAGCTCCAATTGTTCCAAAACCAAAATAGCAATGGCAATGTGAGTAGCTTTTCTTAAAGTTAAAACAACTCTTTTATCGTTGCTTCAGAAATTAGTTCATATATCGTTATTGTCTGTGTCGTTTTTCATAAACCTTATGTGTCTTCACAGCAAGAAACAACGTTTCTATTTAATTTAAGTCTGATCTCCGACGTCTTCTCAAATCGATGGCACTGTCGTTCGCGTCTCTTACAAATGTGAGTGAGTGGATGAGTATGGTTTTACGTCGCTTTTAGCAATATTCCAGCAATATCACGACGGGGACACCAGAAATGGGGTTCATACATTGTACCCATGCCAGGAATCGAACCCGGGTCTTCGGCGTGACGAACGAACGCTTCAACCACGAGTCTACCCGACCGCCCCCTTACAAATGTAGAAGTACCCCAAAACGGAGATCGTGGAATTGAACCCCAGCACTATACACTCAGGGATTTCCTGACACCCAGTGCAATAACTGTAATGTAGTTCAAAGCGGCGTTACACCACTGGTCACGTTAGTCACGGGGAGTCCTTGATGGGTGACTATGTTCGGCTGCTTGGCTACTTAGAGTTTCTAGGTCTTCGGTCCTGCCCCACACTGACGCACATGCAACACATGTGGTGCCTCTTTGGGCAAGTGACTTTGTTTACGATGAATTCACTGTGTACGGTGACGTCCCCTAGGCGTGCCAGAACCTTATGATCATGGGTTCGAATTCCCAGTTCTTTCTGATTTAGTGTCTGTCACGACATAACTGAAATACTGTTCAGAGCGGCGTTAAACAATACTGCCTCACGAATTTCACAATAATGTTTTAGCAATGTCAATGATTTTTTATATCCTACAATTTTTAATATTGCCACTATTTCCCCAGTTGTCTTAGATGCATGACCGTGCACTGTTGGGATCTTCAGATCCGTCGAACCTTGGTTCTTACATTAACTCTTTTATGTTCGTTATTTCTTCAGCTTCATAATACTTATGGCATGGAATTTCTTCTCACATTATTAACTTGTCGTCATGATATTTGATAACTGGTCATCATGTAACGTGTGTGAAATATCTTGACAGTGTAAATTGTAAGTTATTTTTTATGATTCTACCACTTACAATACATTGACTATGCACGTATATTGATCAACGTTATCATGATCATGACGACGAGTGTCCTGAGCCAAGCCAGCTGCAGTTTGTCCAGGGCACCGATTGTGCTCCCTTTCTTGATGATCTGTTTCTTTATGCGCTTTCTGCTCTGGGTGATAAAATATAGACAAGTGAATTTGGCCAAGATGTTTTAGTTAAGCATCAGGGATATCGATGATCTGATATCATTCAATAGGGGGGCACGGGTGGCCCAGTCGTCTAAGGCGCCGCGATTCGCTGTGCAGAGTTGCGTCCCTTGGGCACGCCAGAAACCTATGATTGTAGGTTCGAATCCCGGTTCGCCCCGATTATGTTTCTAGGTTTGTCAGCACCATACCCGTGCTCGTAAGACCTGCATCACTTCTGGCTTTCCTCCCATATTAAGCTGACACGCCGTGATATAACTGGAATATTGTTAAAAGCGGCGTTAAACCCAACTCACTCACTCATCCAATAGTATAGTATAGTATTCCAGCAGCTACGTTTCATCAGTTTCATTTTACAGTGGAGCATGTTCTTTCTCCGGAGATTTCTAAGAGCGTCAAACGAGACTTGCTCAAAAGTTGTGATCTGTTTCTGATGTTTCTGAAAGCTGTTACATAATATTCCATATCCAAAACTATCTAAATGTGTGAATAATACCTTAATTTACAAGACTCATCAGTTTTCATCTGGATACTATTTTTTACATTCCAACAAACGCTGCCTAAACAATTAATATCACCAATATTCTGCTCGTGCAAACGTAACCAAATCTATAAATGTCAAGTAAATGTTTAACATGAGTTATGAATTATGAATTCTACCACATTCATACAGCTCCTTCATTGTGAAAAACATTGTCGGGGATATCTGTCATCATTCATTCTAATTGGTTTACACCAGCATTTAACACTCTTCATATGATAATCCACGTGCAAACCATATCTGTGTCTCTTTAAATATGTCATTCAGACAATTTTGATGCGCCAGGTACATTTTTACCAACTCATGAAACAAATTTTACAAAAACTAGGGTGAAAAGTATCGACAGTTTGACCAGCTTTGCAACCGCAAATATCCACACCACAAAGAAGAAAGGGCTTTATTTTTCATATCACATAATTTACATAAAATGTTCAACTGAACTTTTTTAATTGTAAGCAAAGCCTTATTGGGGTTTAATCTTGAGGGTATCAATGCATTCAGTCCAAGACAATCCAGTTGAAAACAGAACTGCAGTAAGCACTATATTAATACGCATATCATTAAAAAACAATCGTTCATCATCCCTTAAAGTGCCACCTTTTCAGAGCACCAAACCTTCGGTTTCGTTTTATTAGAAAATAGATAAAATATCAATTTTGCTTTGCAGACCTATTACGGTGTCATCGAATATACACAAATCATCTGCATATAGTAAAAGTAATTGGTCAATTAATTCCTCTCCAACAAAAATTCCTTTTTCTGTCATAGATTGTAATTCAAGGTTAAACATCGTGAACAGTCGAAAGGGACCCAACACTCAAGCTTGTCAAACGCTGGTCAATGATTCGAAATAATCTGAAAAAGAGGTTTTTGATATCCTGACAGCACACTGGATCTTTCAAAACCATAAATCAACGACCGTTGATTCCATTTTCAGTACCAAATACCACATGAGCTTCCTTTTGATCGAATCGAACACTTTTCGGAAATCAACAAACAATAAAATCTACCTCGACGTTTAGAGAGATACATGTGTGCTAAACACTGTAAATATATTGTCAATCTGCTTCGAAATCGTGCCGGAGCTTCAGGAATTGTGTTATAAATTTCCGCAAAGGTCTTGAGTCATTCAATTAGTACTGTTGTTATCAATTTTCCAAATGCATCCACCTTCTCAACTTTCCAAATACACCCACCAGCGTTATTCCTCTATAATTATTGACATGATTAATATTATCTTTCTCGTGCAGTGGAAGTATTATACCCTTTGCCCACTCGTAAGGGAATACACCGTTGTACATAATCATATCAAAAAGTATATTTAAGTATGATATGATGGAAGTGCTGCAACATTTCACAATTTCAGGAACATTCCATCCGTCTTGCCGATTTACCAAATTTCAAGTTATGTATTACTGGTAATACTTCTTCTTCAGTTACATCAGCATTCAGGAAATTATTCATACCATCATCACTTCAGTAATTGCACTCTTTAATAGAATGGCTGGTGATAAAATCTTGTGCCGCGTGTAGATTGTCCCCTTCCACATGTATATCCCTTAAATTAAACCGATGTTGGAAATATTCTGTCTATTGCACATTGCTAATACCTGAGCTGCCTGTCACAGAAGGCGAAGAAATAATATTGTTGACACGTCTCCAAAAGGATATTTCATTCTTGCTTTTATTGACCAAGTCATCTGTACAATCTTCCTCATGCTCATATCGCTTGTCTCTTCTGTGATATCATCCACTGTCATTTTAGGCAAAGCGAAATTATTGTGGGTTCAGAAATCTAAATATCGGATATTTAGTCGAAGGATTGAATTTCAAAAATAGCACAGTAGTGATCACGGGAATGTGTTTTTCACCAAAACATCAACGTTAATTCTGAAACGTCGCCGAGAAATCGGGACTCGTTTAGAATCGTTTGGAAAAATACCCAAACACGAACGCCGAAGTGCACTTTTCGCCATATTGGATACTGTTGACAAAAATCACGTTTCACGTATGCGGGTTATGAAACGCCTATTAGATCACGTACATTTCAAACTCAGCTGCGATACATGCATCCCTGAATTCCTCCTACATTGTAGAATCAAGCGACAAATGGTCTTTGTCACCAATACAAATATTGAATATAACATCAAGCGAAATGAATTAGGTGTGGAAACGAACACTGTGCTCGGAAAACTTTAATTGTTGAAATGTAAACAAAGCAAAATTCAGATTTCACACTCTCCCGTTTTGAGAGATCAATTCGTTTCCTGTGTGACGCCATGACTGACGCAAAGTTGCGCACAACGACGACGGTAGTGATCTGCATTTCTGACAAATTCTCTTGGTTACATTGTAAAACATAAAAACAAATAACAGTACGTAGATAGTCTGATTGTTTCTTATTACTGACATGACACATTTATGTATATACCATCCTACAATCAACGAAAACCCCGTTTGGAAATCCCGCGAAATCACGCCATTTTGTAGACATCGGTCACCGGCAGTGATGTCATACGATATATAAACATTGTTGTAAATACGAGAATTGGGTAATTTCTTTGAGGTGATTTTGTTTTACTCAGCATCATGCGGGTTCTTTGATCTTATCCAGTTTGCACTATCATCATGGCCTTGTTATCCTCAGATGGCGAAACGATTTC